TGTACTCTTATAGGCAGAAAGAAAATAAGAGCATTATTAGACTTGACCAGCCCAGGTTTTTTTCTTCTTCTGTAGGATATTGCCATAAAGTGTCTTTCCTAAAGATTTGTCTAGACTGCTATCCCATTTCCATATTCTTAGATCCTTAGAGATTATTTGTGTTATTAAATTTTTTCCCCTCACAAAAGTGAATTCAGCTTTCCTGCCTTTAGACATGCTGTAGTTGCCAGGCGTTACAAATCAGCCTATATACTATAGCAGTGATCTGTATTGCAGTGAAAAGTGAATAACACATGTCATTTTACATGGTCAAATTAATCTTTATCTTTTGCATTATTCTTAGTTTCCTTGTGCTCATTTCCTACATTTTTTTCTTCCTTCATCTTGTGATTTTGTTTAGATGTAACCATTAGATATATAGTCAGAAAGATTAGATTGTTGGTTATGTGGTTTTTTATTATTATTATTTAAGAAAGATACAGGCTAAACTTAACCAATTTATCCTTTATTTTTCATAAACTTATCCAGAGTAAGGCTGGTTGAAGGCATTTTGCTGCCTCAGACAAAAGGCAAAATTGTATCTCCTCATTTCATTTCATTTCATTTCATTTTGTATCATTTGTAAACTACCTTTCTCCTGTTGATGAGGGAACACAATGCAAAAACATGTCATCAAAGCTACCAATATGAATTTGACTAAACTCCGGGAGGCAGCGGAAGACAGGAGGGCCTAGTGTGCTCTGGTCCATGGGGTCACAAAGAGTCGGACACGACTTAACAACTAAACAACAACAATGTAAAAAGTAATTCTAAAACACAGTACATTACAGATTAACAGACAATTAACCTATAGCAATAATTAAAAACCCATTGAGTAATTACATCATTTCAGACTTAAAAAGAAAAAAAAATAAGAAAAAAGCAAGAACAAAAAAAAAACAACCAGCATTCAGGGACTCAGTCATAGTTATTAAAAGCCTGTATATAAATAAGTCACTTGAAATGGCAGTTGAATCTTGCTTTGACTCTGGAGACATGATGAAAGGCTAGCCTAGAAGGCACAGAGCAGGCTGTCTGGCATTCACAGCCCAGTGCTCTATAACTTTATACACTTTACGGCCTCCAGCATTTGCTAGCTAAGGTATCAGCCTCATTCTGCCTAAAGCAAGACCTACTCACGGCCAGCCAACAGCATGTAGTGAGTTTAAATTTGCAATTCACAGACCAATTGGCTTGGAAGCATTTGGGCTTAAAGAAGTCTCGATTCTGTGTTCTTTCTGCCTCTGCTGAGTTCACCTCCCTTGCACCAAATAATGGGTTAATCTTACTTCCAATGCAGCACACTTAATTCTCATCGGTCTTCTTATATTTTTTTTTTGGCCCTTGGCTTTAGAGTACTTATTGTCTACATTAATTAGCCACTGTTCACAAATCCCATTAAACTATATCTTCTAACATTTTGACCTCACAGCTGACCTTTCATACTTTTTTCCCCTTCGCAATCATTGTGGATCAGCTCACTTGTTCTGATTCACCACCTTTCTCAAAATGTGATCCCTCTTTCTGAACAAGGTTGCAATAAGATGGTTAGTTAGAGTCATGATTGTAGAAGCTTACAGAGTCATGGACAATTCCTCACATGCATGTCCATGAAGGTAAAGGTAAAGGTTCCCCTTGACAATTTTTATCCAGTCGTGTTCGACTCTAGGGGGTGGTGCTCATCCCCGTTTCCAAGCCATAGAGCCAGTGTTTGTCCGAAGACAATCTTCCGTGGTCACATGGCCAGTGAAACTTAGACACGGAATGCCGTTACCTTCCCACCGAGGTGGTCCCTATTTATCTACTTACATTTGCATGCTTTCAAACCGCTAGGTTGGCGGGAGCTGGGACAAGCGACGGGCACTCACTCCGTCGCGTGGATTCGATCTTACGACTCTTCTGACCCTGCAGCACAGGCTTCTGCGGTTTAGCCCGCAGCGCCACCATGTCCATGAAAGCTTATGCCTAATAAAACATGTTACTCTTTAAGATGCCACCAAACTCTTTTCTCATTTTCCTGCAACAAACTAGCACAGCTAAGCCCTTCAACGATTTTGAAAAAGAGGGTGTTAAAAATGTAAATCTTGGAGTGCCTAGGGCTTTGTGGGGATAAAACAAGATTCACCTACATTTCTTCTGAGCTTAACGTGGCAGTATTTTCTCTTACACTAGGTCTTCAATTGCATAATTTGTATACTGGGTGATTTCAACACACCAGGCAAAAGAACATTTTGGATAAAGATGCATATGGCTTTAGAGATGTGCAATAAACACATTCAGAACTACCCTGATCTTGCTTCCTCTTGGCTTCTAGCCATGTTCATTGTACATCAATCAACTGATGGCTAAAAGGCTTGCCCTATATTATTCCATGAGCACTTCTATTATAGTAGGGATTTAATCTTGTTATTTCTTCTTATGTTCTGTGCATGTGTGTGGGCATTAATAATCTTTATGTGAAAAAAAGGTAATATTTCACAGAGAAACAGATTGATCCATACAGCTTGGTGAATATGTTAAATTTGTATCCAAATGATCTTCCGCAGCATTATAGCTTTATATATGTTTGGCATTAGCAATACATCACTGTTTTACTAGAGGAAATTCATTATGAGAAGTGACATCTACAATTTATCACAAAGAGCTGCATATAGAGTACAAAACTTATGAGCCCTTTGACACAATTTTTGTGAAAACTTTTGACAGATGGCATACCAGTGTTTCCCAACATCAGAGCAGCTAGTAATAAATACTTTCCTCCTTATATTAGGTTTATTTTATTAACCTGATTTTGTTTGGCTCCAACGATTTCTTTCTTTCTTTCTTTCTTTCTTTCTTTCTTTCTTTCTTTCTTTCTTTCTTTCTTTCTTTCTTTCTTTCTTTCTTTCTTTCTTTCTTTCTAGAAGAAATTATGTGCTGGATAAAGTTTGGAAGTATTTACATAACCCAGAATTACCTTTACTATTTAAATTTAGTTTAATCACAACAGTAACATGAAAACAAAGCAAGTCATGTTTTTGACCTTCATACAGTTTCACAGAGCAATAATAGGTGTCAAAAATCAAAGTTCAAAATATCATTGTTTTCGTAGTATAATTTGAATTCATCTCCAAAGTGTAATTTTGCCCTTTAAGGATATAAGAATGTGTAGATGTTTAGCCTGCAGAAATACCATGGTTCTCTTAATGATGTCCTAACGTTTTGTTGGTGTTTCTTTGTAAAACCCTGACACAAATACCATTAATCAAAGTCAAGAAAATAAGTTCCCTCTTCTCCCTAACTTTCTATAATGTAGACATGTCTAGCCAGCTATTGTTTCTGAAAGCCACATTTTGGATATTCAACAACCGCTGGGAGCATAATGTGTGTTATAGAAATGCTGTGTCATTTCAAGTTGTACAAATGAGCCTCTACACTCCGGCACTTCATAACAGTGCTGAGCCAATATGTTATTGACTAGATGTTAGTGAAAGTAATATTTTAAATGGCACATTGGTTGACACAGACAAACATTAGGACTTCACACACACACACACCCAATTACAAAAACCGACTTGTGTGCATTTTATATGTACTTGCTAATATATATATATAGCAGTTGCAGGAAAGGAACGTCTGATGACCACTTGGAAATTATAAACATGCAAGAGGAAGCCCACAAAAATTCACATAAAAGTTTCTTCAGATTGACTGATTCCAAATCCAGTCTCTCAGTGCCAGTTCTATGATTTTAGGTAAGATATCCTAAGTGAGGCCCCTTGACATGGAAAACATACAATATACAGACAGACAATTTTCTCTGACTGATTCAGATATTGAAATATTTTCTGCTGAGGGAAAAAATAGCTGCAGGGAGACCAAAGCTATTAAACATGACTGAACTTCCTTGGGCCTTGGGTGGCTATTGATGCATTGCCCAAAATTGCAAGGGCATCAAAAAGGGGGAAGATTTGCAGAAAATCTCTGTATACATCAATTGGGGGACCTCTAGAAGAAATTAATATAAATAGAAATACATGGCATAACAGCATAGTAAGGAAGGTTGGGCCCAAGTGAGCTGAGTGCCTGGCTGCTGATCCGCCTGGTATTAGAATGCTAACAGTTGAGTGGTGACTTTAAGGCCGTTGCTATCTCTTCTTCTTCACCTTTAAATGGATCTTACACTGGACAGCCCTTTGGATAGAGGACTGACCTTTGTAAAGATGGACACTTGTCTTCTCTGCTAGAAGAGTGGGAAAGTGAATAATATCCTTGACAGCAATATTAGTATACCTTCTCTCTATAATCAGACTTGATAGAAAAAAACAAATGACTAGGAAGTGACAACAAGGAGAGAAATGTAGGGTAGGTTTACCTGGTCTCAGGTCTTGGCACTGAGACTCAGATTTTCAATCTGTTCTCTAGGTCTCAGGTTTGGACTTGAAGTCTCAGGGAACTGAACCAGCTAATCCTAAGGTTTGGGGGATCATCCTCATGAGTGCAGCACATGCCATTTAGACATGCCCAGAAATATCCTTTGTTGTGTTGCATGCTTTAGTATGGTTGCTCCTGGAACATTTTAGCCTTTATTGCCATAAATACTCCATACTGTTGGACACATACCATTTTGCATTTGTTATGAAAGGATCTGCCCCTGGAGCAAATTGATCAGGTTGTGGAAGCAGCATACAGGGAATTCAGTTTTCCATGATCCCCTGGGATGACACTAAGTTGCGAATTAACATAGCTGTTTCACACCCACCCATGTGGCCACCTGCTGCATTCACTCGTGGAGGCCTGACACTTTTAGGGAGGGACTTTGTGGAGAGTCTCCTTAAGCCTAGGTCTAGACCCACAGTTTTCTCTCCTTGAATCGCGCCATTCTTCTGTAACATGCAATAAATTCAGAACTGCTTAGCAATGTACTAAATGACCCACAAGTGACTCCGTCTTCTTTTTGTTTTGTTTATGTTGATTCAAAGGTTAAAGTTTGGTTCCAGAACCGGCGGATGAAATGGAAGCGGGTAAAAGGAGGGCAGCAAGGAGCTGCCGCCCGAGAAAAGGAACTGGTGAACGTGAAAAAGGGCACGTTGCTCCCCTCAGAGCTTTCTGGAATTGGCGCCGCTAGCCTCCAACACACAGGGGACTCACTAGCAAACGACGACAGCCATGACAGTGACCACAGCTCAGATCATGCACACTTATGATAAAACAAGAAGGAATCAGAGCTCTCTTCTCAGGAAAGACATACTGATGCATCAAGCCTTATGTGCACATCCTTAATGGATGCTAACGACCTTCTGGCAATTAAATATAGCTTTGGACTTCCAGTTTCTGCTACCCTGGAATTGTTTTTTTAAAAAAAAACCAAAATTCTGTAAGTGCCAAACCAGAAACGTGCCTTGTAAGTTGAAGCAAAAGATTTAACTTGCTTTTGAACATTCCAGTTGGGTCTGCCATATCAATGGCAACAGGCAGGTATATATTTTTTTTGCTTTTGCTTGCACTGAAAAATGCCATTTCTCTCAACAAATATAATATCCTGAAAGGGAAAAGCACAGTGCCAACAGAAACATTGTCTAGTGGGTAAGAAATGTATTTTAACTCTGTATATATCTGCTTTAAAGCATTTTTACTTTTCACTTCATTCTTAGCAATGCATTCATATTAGCTGATGGCAATAGTCACTCATGAGAATAAATGGCTTTTTCTCTTTCTCTCTCTCTGTCTCTGTTTTTGTTTTGTGTCCCAGAGATGTATAATACAGGCAGGCATTTGTGTTCAAAAGAGAATGATTTTTTAAAAAATCTGCTAGGGAAACTCCTTGTACCACAGACAAAACAAAACTTATGTTGCATCTACGATCAACTGCTGCTAATAGGAAACTATTAAACCTTGTTCCTCAATTTTTTTCTTACCTTATAACATCAACTTTAAAAAAAACAACCACAGGATAATCCCTGTTTGAAAATTAAAAGCCAATCATCTATTCATATTTAAACTTTATTACAGTGGTGCCTTGCTAGACAGTTACCCCATATGACAGTTTTTTCGCTAGACATTGACTTTTTGCGATCACTATAGTGATTTGCAAAACAGTGATTCCTATGGGGGAATTTAGCTGGACAATGTTTGGTCCCTGCTTCACAAACCAATTTTCGCTAGATGACGATTTTGACAGCTCCCTCCGCCCTCACAAAACAGGTGTTTTCGGGACCTAAGCTCCACAAGACAGCGATTTAAACAGCTGATTGGCAGTTCGGAAAGTGGCTTTCCTAGGGCCGATCTTTGCTAAACAACAACGATTCTTCCCCATTGGAACACATTAAACAGGTTTCAGTGCATTCCAATGGGGAAATGCTTTTCGCTAGACAATTATTTTGCTAAACAGCAATTTCAGTGGAATGGATTATCATCATGTAGTGAGGCACCACTGTATCATGAACTACATGTGTAAAACTGTAGCTGCGGGTCACAATCAATTTACACCAGAACAGCCCTGATAAATTTGCAAAAGCTGTTTGAATGCAATTGGATTGTGGACAGTGATTGACATTATATATTGGAAATACTGTCTTACTTTCATATTTTCATTAAATAGTCTGTTATTTATGTTGTTGTTGTTTTAAAAAACTAAACAAACCAGGCAGAGTTGATTGTTCTCATTTGTGATGAAAACTGACTCAAGATAGTTCTGTATAGAAAATGCAAGGATCAAGGCATTTCTCTCCCTCTTCTAAGCTTTTGTGTACATAAAATGAAATAATAAAACCAAAACTTAACACAAAACATTGATTGTACTTTGTAAAGGAAATGTTTAATAAATGATCCTTTAAAAATAATCTGTGCCCTGCTTTGGAGTTCTCCTTTGCAGTCTGCAGCTTCAGTATTGTAATTTGTTCTAAAACTGTATCCGTGTTTGCTTTAGTGCTGGGATGGGGCTTCTGTCTTGGTACGTCGGGGAAATTCTTTCCTCCAGCAGGAAAAGCAACCCTCAGCTAAAAAACTGGAAGCCAAGGAAAACAAGAACTATTTCCCCTGATCTGAGACAAATATTAGATGGATATTTTTGTTGCACTAAACTTGTGGAAATGGAGAAAAAATGGCAAACGTTCCCCGCCAAAAAGTGAGGTAAGCTGAACGAAAATGTATTGCTGCTGAAAGATCACTAAGAGACATAAGCCAACTAACATATATAATAAAAGGCGAAGATACTTTAATAAATATGAAAACATAAATATAAAAAAGCATTTATTTGCGACATTTATCTGCAAGCTTCCTGCACTTTTTGGATTAATGTGTGAATTGCAGCATCATTATCCTCCTGGTGCATGGTTATTGGGATTTTGAAAAATAGTTCTTGGCTCAAGTGCATAGATGGGTGTACGTGTTGAGGAAAAATGTGTATGGAAATAAATAAATATTTTTCAAACAACTAAAAATCATCAGCTGAACCAAACAGAAATGATTTCTGACTGAATAGATGTACACTGAATGATTTTTCCAAAATTTGGAGCTCAAAGTGGCATTCAGTCAATTTTATTGGAATATAGCAATTGTTTATTATAACGAAATCATTAACATTAACAATTAGAAATCAAAAGCAAACACCAAGAAGTGTTGCTCCAAAGACCTTTTATGAAGAAAAATTTTCTTTCACATATACATATGTCTTTGAAACCCACGAGCCAGTCCAGGCCAAAGAGAAGGCACTCACTTCTTCCAAGCGATGTACCTTTGTGAAGATCAATTTTTAAAGGATGTTCTTGTTTCCCCAATTCTGCAAAAGAAGGATGCACTTAGTCCAAAGAGCACACAAACAGCAACTGAGACAAGCCCTATTCTTATAGTCTGACCTGGCAGAATTATTTTACCATGAACAAGAATGGAATACTTCACTATGAGCAGAAAGGATTGTTCTAATTTTCATATTTTTCAACCAACTGAATATTTTGGGACTATAAAACAGGCAATATGCTGTTTTATTTCATCTACGAAAACGATCTGTTTTGTGGGGACTGTTAGTATCCATAAGCCATTATAGCAATACAGACTTCATTGAATGATGACCTTGAGCACAGAAATCTGCAATGGTCCATGGTGTCTGACTGCATCCCATCCTGAGATTAAGCCAGAGAGAGACGATGTCACTAGGATGGTGCTTTGCACTCAAGCCACACATGTTCCTGACATACGTTCCCCCTTCTCTCTGTGCACAGAGAGGGACAGATCTCCATGGCTTCCCCAGATGGAAAACATGCCTGTTCGCTCCAATTAATGATGGGAGATATTAGCAATATTCCACCTGTGTCACTTATCTTCTCAATTGGAACCTGAGAGGTCCATAAGGGAAGCTGTTCTCTCTTTTTGTACAAGGATTTTTCCAGTCCTAATTACTTACACCAAACAAACAAAATGATTCGCAGTATTCATGCCTCTTTTCCCCAGTAATTCATGGTCCAAGCAGGGGAAAGGAATCCTCATTAGACTGTGCCTAGTGTACTACTACGACTCTACTAACATTCTAGCTGGGCAAGCCCGTTCTGGTCCCACTGCCTGATCCTTGCCTATCTTATCCAATTCCCTTGAGGAGACAAGAATGCTACAGCTACTGTCACCATTAACACCAGCCTATCCAGTTTGCCCAGCTTCCAGTCAGGGCTCCCTGTGAGGATATCTGTTAAGTATGCCAATGCCAGTAGGGCAACTAGAGGAAACTGCAGGCAAGTCATCAGTCAGGGTCAGGCCCTACTGGTAGCATCCATTTCAGGCAGAGAGATTCCAAGGTCAGCAATGTGATCAACAGCTAGCAGAGGTCAGGCCCTACTGGTAGCATCCACTTCAGGCAGAGAGATTCCTAGCAAAGGTCAGCAATGTGATCAACAGCTAGCAGAGATGAACAAGAGTCAAGCAAGGAGAAAATGTAAAAGAACAACAATAAGCAGTCTGGGTCATATGTAGCAAGAAAAGCAACAGCACCCAGCTAACAATGAGTAGTATTCATGAGTTCAAGCTGTGTTCACAGACACTGAGCATTGGTGAAATTGAAGTTGATTTGCTACTGTTGTCATAGAAGCTCTAGACCAGGCTCAACTCGCCAAAAGTGGAATCCCCTATTCATGAGAAGCCCCACCCCCAGTACAGCCAGATTGCAATAGCAAAAGTGGGAGCCCCTACTCATGAGAAGACCTTTCATAGAGCCAGACATTCTTTCGGAATATCTTAGACCGAATCATTGTTTTCACTTGGGGGTTCTCTTCTCTGGACTTCTTCACCCAGGGGAGCAGTCTGGGGCCAAATGGGTGGCTGACTATTCAGTTTTTTTTTCACATCAGTGAATGTAAACTCCTTGATGCAGTTTTGGCACTGGTAGGACAGATTTTTTTTCAGGTCAACAAAGCTACTTTTGCTTTGAGGTCTCTGCCCACCGTCCCATTCCTTCACACTGCTCAGTCTGAATGTTTGGTCTGGGCAACCTTTCATACATGGTAGCATATAAAGGTAGCCATAGTACTGTCAAGTAGTTACTTTCAATGTGGTGTAGTAGATATAGTGATAGATTAGGTCTCAGAAGCCCTGGGTTCAAATACCTGCTCACCAAAGGAAAGTCACAGGGTGGGGGACAAAACAGGCACAACTACTCCTTAAATAGCTCTTGTACTTTGAAAACCCTACTAGGGTTTCCATAAGTCGGATGTGATTTGAAGGCACACAAGGATAATAACAATGATAACAACAACTGGTCTCCTTGCCAATAATGCTTCTGCTGTTTGTGCCCTAGTATCAGGATTTAGACATCAGCCAAGCATATAAACAGAGGAGATGCCAGTGTTGCGATTAAGTGGTAAAACATTATCCTTCTAGGATGCATTTTTAAGAGCTTCCATGCTTACATGATTCACTTGTAAATGAATTCTACCCATATCTCTCTGTGAACAATCACCAAACAAAAGCAAGCTAAATTTCTAGTTGTGGAGCTGTGAAACTCCATGGCAGGAAAAACAGACATCATTTAAGTCCTAAGAGAGGACAGGTTCTGTTTGGTGGCAGGAAAAACAGACATCATTTACTGTAAGTCCTAAGAGAGGACAGGTTCTGTTTGCAGAGGTGGCATCTGGCCCAACGGTGAAAAGTATTGGAGGGACAATTCTAGCACTGATTGATCAGTCTCATTCTTGCTTGACCCGATCCTCATAAAGGATGGCCAGCTAAATCTACATTATCACAGATGCTGATGAGTGGATCGCTGCTTCGTATTGAATTGAGATAGAGTAGCTGTTTGACATCTCCTTGTGCCTCCATTTCAGTGGCTGGCCAACCATACCACTCCTAATGCTCATTAGATCCATGTCTTCCCTCCTATGTAATGAGGCAAAATGTCTAGGAGAATTCCACCAATAAGCTGGAGGATATGGTGGTAGAGTTAAAATGACATTCTAGTCCTAACCAGAATAACCCAGTGACTCTAGTGTTGATTTACCACTTAGCAATTCAGTGGTTAGAATTCTGCTTGCACAGCTTTGCACATGTAAGGCTGATGATGTAGAAGTTTCCTATTCTCCTTCAGATTCTGAAGCTCCCCAGAGGGAGGGACTTTAATGGTCCTGCCACCCTCGTTCCACAACTCCACATTGGGAGTTACATTCCAACAACATTTAGAGAGCCACATGCTATTTCTGCCTTAAAAGAAAGTGTATTATTGGCCTTATGGTCGAGAGGAGGCCCGTTTAAATAGAGATGGACATAGTTTCCTGATTTTTCTTTTTTTTACCTGTTTTCTGTTGGGAAAGTACCCCTCTCAAGAGATGCAAAAAAGCTACTCTTCTGCAGAAATCTTTAGCCAGGAGTAGAGATGGCCACGGATCTTGGTTTGGCGGTTTGTGCCAAGGTTCATATGCACAGCACCGCATGTGCCACATGTTCCCACTGCCTCCATGGCTGGATTCCACCCCGCCCCCAACCGGTGTACACTCCTCTCCTCCTCCTCTTTGGCTGTTTAACCAGTCTGCAGCAGGAGCACAGGCTTCCCTGCCCCACCTTCTTGGCTCATCACTTATGGGACTG